AAAAAACCTGATTTTGCTTATCACATGTTCATGCTTCATAGAAAATGTAAACAAGGGTTTTAGGACGGCCCTCATATAAAATACGATACCCCAAAAGGAGAATATGATCTTACTCTGTAATGGGTACCATAGTATCCCCAAATGAAATACTACTCAGCTGATCTGGATCCTACTGACTCATCACAAGCAGGGCAGAGGCACCCATGTGGAGTGTCTTAGAGTTGACAACCAATCATTCCATGGTTATGTTCTATCGAAGTACTCTTAGCATTACTGCTGCCGTTACTTTTGCTCTTCTTGCCGTTGCTGTTGCCAGTACAATTACTTGGAGGGTCAGGGGGACTTAGTAACTAGGCTACTGAACCCTATAACCCATATAGTATCCCTAGTTATCCCCATTATTAACCTACTTATTAAGTCGTCCTGACGCTTGCAAGTACTGTTGTTAACAACTTCCCAGCTCCTTGATTCTGGGCACTCCGAGCGTGACGTTCATGCTAGCCTGCAGTCGGCATCGTAGGCGAGCAAAAGTTCACCGTATGAGAGAAAGGCCCTTGATCGAGCGATCGGCTGCAATCAACAGCCGATCGTAGAAAGCACTGGCTTCCAGACAGCTGCAACTGCCACTGCACATGGCCCCTTTTCCCCAGAACCCCCTAACCCTAACCGTAAGCCCTCACTCTTTAACCCTACCAGCATGAAACCTGAGGACCCTGCCACACCAGCAAAGTGGAAGGTCTTGAGCGTCATCTGTGTGGCGGGCTCACCGATGGACTGGGCCTGGGCGTTTCTAGAAACCTGGGAGCATCCATAAAAGTTGAACATGTCAAATCAGTAGGGTTTGGATTTAGGGTTTAGGGAGCACCCTATAACATCCTCGAGGAAAGTAAGTCACCTCTCGGAAGAAACATACTGTTTCTGGTAGTTTCCATACGTAGGGGGACTCCAATCTTGATCCCAAGATACTATAGACCTTATTACGGGAGCCCCCAAAAAGGACGACCCCAAATTACGGAAACCCCTATCTCCAATCAGCCACCAAAAATCGCAGTTTCCATTTCATGTCCCACTGGCCTTTCCATTTCATTCTTCCTTCTTTGAGGCAATATCCCTCTATACCATTTCCCCCAAAATATGCCCTATCATAATGCAGTATTTGCTGTTTTCTTTTTCCAGAATTTCCTGTTTTGGCACCTGACTTTCCTCCACAATTAGGATAACCTATACATCCCTACCTATCCCTGAATAACTTTGTACAATATACCCTAGGCTCAAAACCCCTCAACCCTGAACCCTAAACCCCTAAAGCCTAAACCCCAAACTCCTAAACCCTAAAACTCCTAAGCCTGAAATTTCCAAACCCAGAACCCTCAACCCTGACCCCCCTAAACCCTTAACCCTAAAAACTAACCCCCTAAACCCCTAAGCCCCCCAAACCCCCAACCCCTAAACCCCCTAAACCCCCTAAACCCCCTAGGCCCCCAGGCCCGAAATCATAAACCCCCTAAACCCCTAAACCGAGGGCGTAGGGTTGGTTAGGTCATTTTAGGGTTGGTCCCTCCATAGGATCCAGGCCAAGAACCTTCTGTGGATATGGGTTTAAGGTTTAGGGGTTAGGGTTTAGAGTTAATGGTTTAGGGTTTAAGGTTTTCAAGTTTTTGGGGGAGGAGTTCCAAAAATCAGGGGTCCTTTTTGGGAACTGCATGATAAGCACTGCACCGCTAATTTCTGGGATCTGTATTGGGGTACTCCACTTGCCCGCAAATAGGAGACCTTTAGCCATGAGCTCTAAATGGGCTCCCCGCAGCCACAGCTCCAACAGCCTCGCCAGGCATCAGGAAGGCCTGTTGAACAAAAGCAGCTCCGGATTCAGGGTTCCCAGAGAGCCCACTACCCCTTAATTGAGGACTATACCCTAAATGGTACAAGGTTCCTCAACCCTAAACCCTAAAACCCTAAACCCTAAATGATTTAAGCTAGATTCCTGTATTAAGGGGTATCGGGCTCCCTGGATGTAGGGTATACAGGGCTGAACATGACTAAGTGCCCTTTTTACGCTCCGTGTATTCCTTGGCGTCCACGGACTTACACACTGGGAAACTAATCTCCGTTGCGGATTTCTGCCAGAAAGATCTGTATACAAATCATGGGCTCCCCATGGTAAGGAAAAAGTGGTTCCAGTGACCTAAACCCTGAAGCCTAAAACCTAAACCTTAAACCCTAAGTGGTATTTGCTGATGACTAAATCATTTCTTTTTCAAGGGGAATAAAAGGCTCGAGATGAATTAGACTACAACCAAAAGAGCTATAGTCTAAACTCCTGGTAGCACCCCTAATAACCCCTATAATACTCCCCTATATAATTCTCTATGTAACCCCTCTGTAAGGAGCTAAGACTATAGCTCAAATGTCGCAATGATACAGCTGGCCACGCCTGCTCCTAGACCCACTCCTACGAAAGTTTGTGAAACGGCGGGGGGGGGGGGTGCCTTCAGTGATTCACCGGAGGGATATTTCCTAGGATGAGCCAAGTGGTGATCCTGAGAAACTCCCTTCTGGAACTAGATCTGCAGGCCTGATGCCTCACAGACCTGAAGCTACCAGCCTGCACATACTTCAGCGCGCAGGTATTGATGAACATGTCCAGCTGTTGCAGACTTGGACAAGGCCTTGGCTACAACTCAGGCGGAAGCTGAGATGGAGAACATGAGCCCCAGAAGGCGGGCCCTGCAAAGACCATTGCCCGCCCAAATGGGGGGGCTAGAGGAGGGTTTCCATCAACTAGGGGTCCGTTTTTGTGGCTATACTAAGGACTCTAATAATTTGGAGTCGATTATGTGGGCCCTTTTAGATCCTCAACCCTAAGCCCTAGACCCCTACACCCTAAACCGCGTTAACCCGAAACCGGGTCTGGAACGGGAGGAACTGCAAGCTCTAAGCCCTAAACCCCAAGCCCTAAAACCCCCTAAACCCTAAAACCCCTAAACCCTAAACCCCTAAAACCCATAAGCCCTAAACCCCCAAAACCCGTAAACCCTAAAACCCCTAAACCCTAAGCCAAGATCTGGGCCCCAAATCCATCAGCGCCAAGCCATCTTCAAGCCTCTCCAAGGAAGGTTTAGGGGTTAACAGGTTTTGGGTTTAGGCTCTAGGGGTTTAGAGGTTCAGGGGTCTAGGGGTCTAGCGGTTTAGGGGTTAAGGGTTTAGGGTTTGCGATTCAGGGTTAAGGGCTTTTTGTCCTTGGGAACGTTGGTAAAAAGAAGATTGCCTGTGGCTTCGCAGGACAGCATTGCAGTTCTTGTATAATGTAGGGAACAAGGGAATACAATCCCCCCTTATAGCCCCTATATCATATATTCCCATATTCCCTGGTAAGCACCAGTAAGCAACAGAGGTCACATGTTAGATTCGGATCCTGAAGGTGGGCCATGGTATCATCTCAATCTGCTGCCCTAATTAGGCCCTGAACCCTAAACGGCGCAGTTGACTTTGTTCACTCTCCAAGCCTTTAGTCAGCGAGCAGGCCTTCAGCATATTTCCCCGCGATTTCAACTGTTCCTTTTAAAGTTTAGGGTCTAATGTTTGGGGTTTGGGGTTGACAATGGTAGACTATATGCAATTTTAGGAGTATTTCATGCTAGGGGAGCGGGGAATGGGTAGCATTGTCACAGAAAACATTCTTCAAAGTTCCCTTCATTCCCGGAGTACGCACTGCAACGTAGCAACGTCTGGCAGCCAGGATACTGAGTACGTTGTTGAATTTGGAATCTGGGATCTATATTGCGGTCCCCCTACTTTGGGAAACTACCACTTGAGATTACCCCAAAAGTTGACAACCTTTGACTCGCTTCTTCTAAAGAAGCTCCCGCAGACTTCCCAGAGCAGGCAGCCTCCACTTTGCGCGAGCTGCTTCGGCAGACTCCTGACCCATCCATTAAAAGGGTGAATAACCCGCATATCAGGAGATGTTGTGGATATTGTGTATCTTTTCGACTCTTGTTTTGTTCCAACCACAATCGATTATTATCTTTTGCTGTACCCCCCCCCCCCCCCCCCCCC